CACAATTAAGTAAAAATATTGTAGCATCTGCCACTGCAGTTTTCAGCTTTTTCAGGGATACTTCTGAAGACATAAATTCTATGAGAATCACAGTAATTAACTTTGGTATACTGTCAAACATAGGTCTTCTACAAGTTATTGACTTCTCGCATGCCATCCTGAAATAATAAAAACCTGAATAAGTATAAATGAAACACTATAGTGTAGATATAATAATTTGACTCAACAGATATAAACTACAAGTAAATTGTTGTATAGTATTTCACAGCCATTGGGTTCATATAAGATCTTGTTCGTGTAAGTTCTTGTATAATATATTACAATCTATATATTATGTACATGTAGCAGAAACATTCATCTTGAACATGACTAAAATAATCTGAATCTACATTATGTGCATGCATTATGGTGAAGTCACCTCACTTTTAATTTCACAAAATAGGGAATTTAATATAGAATACTGCATAAATATATATACTTACCCAATTGAAGTGTTTTTTTATCTTGACCAATACTGTACAGTTGATACAAAGTGATTGTCTTTTTTACTCAATACCCCTGGTGCTCAACAGGGCATAGATGTCACGCATTGTGCCTCATTTCCAACAATAGTTTAGTATATTCATCATCAAATAGGTGAACTATGTGTTCTGAAAATTATTTACAAAAGGTTTACTGTATGTACTTTAAGAGCTAAACATTATTTTCAATACATTAATGACAGTATTGGCAGAAAAACAATACAGCATTATTTCTAAATATAACATAAATTTAAGTTCCTGTTACTGTATGCTGACAACTTTAATAGAAACTCTGTTTTGAAAGTAAACCCTAAAAATTAAGACACGAAAACTCGCGTGACTTTGCAAGCATTTTTCTCACACTGATTAAAAGCTCAATTACTGTATGATATAACAATTCAACAGTCGCATTTCAAATAAAACATTCTTGTATCAGAAATAGTTGATTTTCGATGAGCAATAAATCTGTTATGTAACAATTCTACAATTTACCAATACACTTTAAAAATGTAAACTGGGAGAGTAATCTCCTTGGCAGCTTGACACACATGTAAATTATTACAAGGATCTTGATGCTTTCACTTGTTAGACATTGTACTACAAGCTTGATTTTCCCGAAATAATTTACTCAGAGTAAGAAAACTGCTGATATATATTATTTTCAATATCATTTATAAGAATATCATGTTTCATAATTGATTCCGATTCCAAGATGTACATGAAAAAGATAACATGTACACAAAGATTATTTTACACTACAAATTTTAGCCTTGATATTAAATTCACTCACAGAAAAGATGGTTTAAATATGATGGCAAAATTGACAAAGATAATCTAGCTGTCCTTGAAATGAATCTAGATCCATCTTTACTGGTAACATTTTCATTTGTAATTAAAGGGACTCAACTGAGGTTTTTTGACGTGAAGGGGCCGAAAATATTTTTTAACGAATTTTGTAAAACTAGAATTTGTGTCATTCCATTTTCCAGAAATAATCAAATTTTATTGTGCAAATTGGCCCCAAAAATGAAAACCATTGCAACGCTTTTCACTCAAATTGGCCAAAATCGCATAAAAAATCGATTATCAATTTTAATACCGTTTGTATTTATTTATCATCTATTGTTTGGTTTCAAATTTAAATGTACCAGATGATTTAATTAAGAAGGAATTTCATAATTAATTATTTTAGGCTATTGGACCTCAGTGGAGTTCCTTTAAGGTTAATCATCATTTTTATATGGTTGATACTGAACAAAGTATATTGCTTATTTGAAACATTTAAAATAAAATTCCTGAAACTTACAAGTACTCACTGGGTGCCAAATTTTTATTATCTTTCTGGATTTAACTCTGACTTTAAGTTAGTCATACTGTAATGCTTTCCTACAAAAATTATTTTAACATTGGTCAATATCGTAATAAATCGGTCATTTCAGGAATGATATTTTTCACAATTTTCGGTATTCAATATTTATTAACCATTAATAATCAGAATTTAGTACATAGTGATAAAGGATGAGCAATTGTTTATAATCTATTGCCAAAAATAAATTTCTGGAAATAATCCGTTTGCTAAGATGTTAGAATTGTTTTGGCGGCAAAGCATTACGTTAAGACTATCATAACATGTATATGGTCACATTTTGGAGGTTTTCCTGGATAACTAACCAGTTTCTTACCTCAAATGATTTCTGGATCAGCAGTGAGAGACAATTAAATGACTAGTTGACATAGTATCTGAGATCAACAGACTTACTTCAGAATAAAAGAATATTTTGTTTTTTCCCCAGCTTAATGTTTTACAGTTACAGCTTCAATGATAGGTGCAATTTGGTTGACTAATCTATTGTAACCTATAGTGCACTGTAACGAAATAACTGTCAAAGTTTGTTTGTGCTGGGGGATTAGCTTGGAAAAACTCGCATGAGCCGCGTCATGACAAAACCAACATAATGCGTTTGCGACCAGCATGGATCCAGACCAGCCTGCGCATCCGCGCAGTCTGATATGATGATCCATGCTGTTCGCTATCAGTTTCTTTACTTGTAATAGGGTTTGTAAGCGAACAGCATGGATCCTGATCAGACTGCGCAGGCTGGTCTGGATCCATGCTGGTTGCAAACACATTATGTTGGTTTTGTCATGACGGGGCTCACATTCGCTGAGTTACAGATAGCAAATATTGCCATAGTGAAATTATGCCACGTCAGAGGATGGAACCAGCGGCTCCTAATGAGCTAGGCAAGCAGACGGACTTGGTTTCATTAGAATAAACATGGCCATGAACATTTGTGGGTCAAATTTATTTATATGCATTTTCAAATGAAATGATTTTGGTGTGTATGTTGATACTAACAATGTCATGTTCAATATTGTTGGCAAAATGATTTCTTTTTTAATTTTGCTTACATAATAAACTTGTCTTTCTTAAGAGAATCAGATAAAGTGACAGCTTATCCTTGCTAACATACAACATTCACTTCAATAACCATGGTCAGATCTACAAATGTAAAAAAGAACATAATTATCACAACTTGGTTGTTAATATTTTTTTCTGAGGCATATATGTTGTTATTACAAAACAAACTTTGTTAAAGAAATTATTTTTGCACAACAATAATGCTTGACTAATGTTTTTTTATTTAAACTTTGCATGCAAAATAACAACCACAAATACAAGATTATTTTCTCCCCCTCTGCTTTTATCATGGCTTGGGACATGCTAGAAGTTAAAACTGCACACATCCCGCTATTTTACTTTCTTCAAAAAGAACCAAATCCATTACAATCAGGAATTACTTTTTGACTTATACTTTTACAATTAAAGTCAAAATTTGCTTTTTTATGACAAATGTAAAATAGGATTGAATTTTAATAATTTTACGCTAATATTAATGAAATAACATTACACACCGTTGCTAAGTAAAAACTAAGACATAAAAGTCTTAATTCTAGCTTGATTTGTAAGTTTTCTTAAGAACATTAAATCTAGATATTTTACTAAATCATTGGACATATAATAATATGAGCCGCGTCACGACAAAACCAACATAGTGCGTTTGCGACCAGCATGCGCATCCGCGCAGTCTGATCAGGATCCATGCTGTTTGCTTACCAACCCTTCTACAAGTAGAGAAATTGATAGCGAACAGCATGGATCCTGATCAGACTGCGCGAATGCGTAGGCTGGTCTGGATCCATGCTGCTCGTAAACACATTATGTTGGTTTTGTCGTGACGCGGCTCAAATATTCTCCATTAAAACAATATGAATCAGGGAGTGTGCTGTTTTAAAACTAGGCAGCATTGGGAGAAGTGTTGAGATTGTCAAATTAACCTTTGAGGCTCTGAAATGATGAATGGGTTTTAGTCAGTCACTGTATGTTGTCAAGTTGGTCACAGTACGTTGTAGGGTTCAGTGTCTATTCCAGAATTTCAAAAGTACAGTGAATTTTCCCCACTCATTAAAAAAATAGGTTTTTCAAAAACAAGGGGTGCCAGTAAAAAGAGTAATTGTGTAAAAAAATTTAATGTTTAAATAAAGCCAGAGCTAATCTTTTTATTTTCTAAAAAAAAATAAAAAGGTAGCTAGATTGGGTTTTTATTCATAGAAACAAATCAGGGACGACTCAACTAGAATATGTCTGCAGCTATTTTTATCATATTACACATTATTATTAATATCGAGTTATGAGTAAGGGTTAGTGTTATGTGTTAGGGTTAGAGTTAGGATTATTGAACATGAATTTTGCTGCAAACAGATTCTAAAAGTGCCGTTATCATCTTTATAGAAAAAGGAGTTGTCAACGAAAAATATTGATTTTATTTAGCAAACTCCTCACAGTGATTACCTCCCTTGGCAGATTGTAATCACTATACTAACAAGGGGAGATCACTGTGTAGGAGATTGTTTATTAGTTCACAATTACCTCCCTTTTGCTTCCCCATGTTCATGTAAAAGAAAAAAGTAAACCTTTATGCATTTTGAGAAAACTGATCAATGAAGAGGCAGGATTTTTACAAAATGTTTCCAAAATGTGCGCAATCTTTGAAAAATTAGCTTGAATCCCAAAATAACAAGTCCTAGAATAGACACTAAGGTTTAATATAGTCACAAATACACTTCTCCCACCATTCATCGTCTGCCAAAGAGCTTCAATGCCACATGTCTCAATCTGACCAATAACCGAAAAAGTTTTGGTCTAAGGTTGCATGGGCCTAGTAGTTAAAGTAGATTAGTCAAAAAACTTCCCCAATCAATAACTATTGGGAAAGCCATGACCGGTTCGTAAAGTCTTGTAAATTGGTCAATGTCATGGTCAATGTCATTACAAAAGCTAGTCAGATCTAATGTTTTGATGGAGAGGTTTGTCACAACTGGTATATGTCAATGACCAATGGTCAATGACTATAATCTTGTCTCACCAATAAGTGAGGAAAACTTTGTATAGAAAAGAAAGTTTTGTAAAGATAGAGATAAAGTTAGATAAGAATAAAGTAGAAAATCTGTCATATCTGCACTTCCCCTTCATGGTAGAACTATGAAAGGGAGCTGCAAAAATCAACAATCACGGATGCCAGGAGACCTGAAATTGACTTTCCATAGAAAGTTGATCCGTATGGAAAGCCGATTGTTTTCTTATCTTTTTCATCTACATTTTCTCAACCAAATTGTCTTCTTTTTTATTCATTCACTTTTCACACATGATTAACTGTTTTCACTTTCAAATTTCATTTCATTCAACTCTCCTCTAGTCTTTCCATTTCCTCGACTCTATTATTCATTTTTTCCATTCCAATTTCCATGTATTCTCTCCCTTTCCATTTATTTTATTATTCATTTTTTCCATTCCAATTTCCATGTATTCTCTCCCTATCCATTTATTTTATTATTCATTTTTTCCATTCCAATTTCCATGTATTCTCTTCCTTTCCATTTATTTTATTATTTATTCCATTCCAATTTCCATGTATTCTCTCCCTTTCCCTTTATTTTCATTCATTTTTCACTTTCACATCTCCATTTTTCAAAAATGTCTATTGCTGACCTTTTGTAGTTCCTTCATTTCTTTCATATTTTAAACAATGCTTTCCATTTTTCACTTCACTGACTTTTTATGTCCTATTTCTATTCTCAAAACTTTTCATTCTCATTTCTTTCCAGACTATTCACTATATCCTTTTCTATTTATTTCACACTTACCACAACATATTATTCATAATGACATTTATTTATGTCCCTCCCGCCACAATTTAACACCTTTTCAAAATTTTACCTCTCTGTTCTGTACTTGCCTCGTCTTTCACAATGCTGAGCAACTAAAAACATTGCAATTCTTACCGTCTTGCGTCTTGTCTTGAAAACTTGACGTAAAATATCATCTAGTACTCACCATTTAACAACTATTTTTTAAAAAGAGAAATGCTTGTTATTGTACATTATTCATTCTATACTACAAATATATACAAATGAATTATTTAAACTGATCAATAATTTACTTTTAAAGATATTTTACTAAATTCTTTACTTTTTAAAGTTTAAAGACATCACTATGAAAGGTCGGTGGTTCTTCTCTGTCGACATGAAAAAAGAAAAATCTAGTAACAACTTCTACTCGGAATAAATGTTAAAATAACATTGAAACTTTCTTACTATAGAATGGCATCACTGTCCCGTCAAATCAACACACACACACTACACCATTTTCCGATTAACCATCAGATCTCCTACAAGAAAAATAAGAAGAATTGGTTAACATCAGTATGATTCAATACAGGAACATAAATGATGAGCAACTAGTAAATCAACAAACAGTACAAATGGCATTAGACAAATTATCCAAATGAGCAGCGTCATGACATAACCAACAGAGCGTTTGCGACCAGCATGGATCCAGACCAGCCTGCGCATCCGCGCAGTCTGGTTGGGATCCATGCTGTTCGCTTACAAACCCTATAACAAATATGGAAACTGATAGCGAACAGCATGGATCCTTATCAGACTGCGCGGATACGCAGACTGGTCTGGATCCATGCTGGTCACAAACGCATTATGTCGGTTTTGTCATGACGCGGCTCAGCCGTCCGTCCATGCTTAAATAACATCTCACAAAAGGTTTGATCCATATCAAATGATAAAATTTATATAAGACAAAAATCAACAATTCATAAGCAGCATAATGATGTCATCGCAAGAATGACGTCATTTTGAAAATGACATCCATGGTGAGGTTCGACTAGAATGACTAGAATGACTAATCAAGCACTGATGTAAGCGCAATACATGAACGTTTAAATTGTTGAGAACTTGTGTTATGTACAGTGTTTTGCGAAAAACTCAAAACTGTAATGATCATACAAAGATAAGAAATATGTATCTGGCTTTGTACAGAGATTTTTTCATTTTATTATAAACACTTTCAGGACTTATAATCTATAATGAGACCTACCAATGACATCCTTGAGTTTTTTTTTAATCGAACACTGTGTCCATCTCTCTCCACACTGGAGCAACTTCAAATCTTCACCAATGTCACAAAAATCACTTCACCAATGTCACACAACCATCCACATTCCAACATAAATCAATCATCACAACTTCCGACATCAATCTAGCAATCCAGCCAACATGTTGCGAGGGTTTTCTGAAATATCTCTGGAGTTAACAGAACAACATTGCAATCTCAAAAAGTAACAGTATAACCTTAACAATCTTTCCATTAAAGCAGATACAATTCTACATTTTATTTTGGTGACTGTTAAACTTTAAAGGTAGAGCAAAATGTGCCTGGATGGCATTGTTTCTGACAAAGACAGGCACCTTTTAAGAGTAGAACCACCAACTTTCCAGTACATTGCTAGTTAGTCAACTAGAAACAACAATGCCTTTATTGAGACTTACTTGTGACTTTAAAAGCAAATTTTACCTGACCATACAAAATGTCTGTCTCTCTCCACACTGAAACAACTTCCATTCTTCCAAATCTGCCAGCACAGAGGTGTAGAAAGCTATTCCATACCATATCCTTCTTGCGAGTATATAGTCGCTGGACCTCTCGAAGAATTGATAGTCTCGATCAACTTCCACCATGCATGTCAAGTACTTCATTACTCTGTCCCAGTCCACTTTCTTACATCTATCCATCATCACATTTGATGCAACTTCATGGTCTGAAATACCACTTCCATCATCATATTTGGTGCAACTCCATGGTCCATCATCACATTTGGTGCAACTCTATGATCCATCATCATATTTGGTGCAACTCCATGGTCCATCATCACATTTGGTGCAACTCCAGGGTCTGATCATCATATTTGGTGCAATTCCATGGTCTGATCATCATATTTGGTGCAACTCCATGATCCATCATCATATTTGGTGCAACTCCATGGTCCATCATCATATTTGGTGCAACTCCATTGTCTGATCATCATATTTGGTGCAACTCCATGGTCTATCATCATATTTGGTGCAACTCCATGGTCGGAAAGATCACATCCATCATCACATTTGATGCAACTCCTCGGTCTGAAAGATCACAGGGGTACCAAAACAACATTCTAATTTCATACTTTTTACTTCTACAATATCTTTACAAATTACTTTCCAACTAAATGGACAACTCTTTGTTATTTAATGGTTTAAATGTGGCAGATGAAAATATACCATTTAAGTGCAAGGAGTAGCAAATTCACATTCTGAATAGAAACACTGACCTTCCAGTCCAGCCAACTATAGACATTCGACTGTAATTCTCAATTGCATAAAATAATCTTTTTAAACTTGGTTCTTTTCTTAATTGGAAAGCCATTGAAATCAAGTAAAATACTCAATAATACACAAAATTGTTCACAAATTTACATGTTACAAAATTACAAAATTGTTTACAAAAAAGTTATCATGATAAATTCCTTAAAATAAAGTAATGTATAGTAAAATACCAAATTGCTCCATCATGCCTCTTTCCAACACATACACTTTGCCATCCACATCCTTGTGCTTGTCAAGTACTTCATTACTCTGTCACAGGTGTGGGTTAACCATCCACATTCTGACATCCATCCATAATCACACATGATGCCACTCAAGCAATTCAGTGTCCATGGCCTAAGGGTTTACAGAAAAGTCACTTGGTTAACAAAACAAAATTTCAATCGAAAAATGTTAACATTGACCATATTTTAAACAAACTTTTTAAACTAAACCAACAAAGATAGTTTTCTTGGTTCTCAAGTCATATGGTGACTGACCAGGTAGGAAATATGTCCAAAACGTACATTGTTTCAGGCAAGGGCTGGTACCAGAGTAAAACAATAGACATTCCAGTCTACATGGTTATAGACTTTAAAGCTACAAAAGACAATCAAACAACTGATGAATGTGTAACTGATTTATCACTTAACTATTGAAAAATTGAACCTCAATACATGTTGCACTCTAGCTGTCTTGTGACTTACACAAATTCAAAAGAGATAATTTACCAATGCTCCATCATGTCACTTTCCAGCACAATCACACTTCACCAATGTCACAACAATCATTTCACCAATGTCACACAACCATCCACATTCCAACATTAATCCTCCATCACAACTTCCGACATGAACCTAGCAATCCAGCCAACATGTTTGGGTTTTCTGAAATGTCACTGGTGTTAACAGAACAACATTGCAAAATTTAACACTTTAAGCTAAATTCTTTTGAAATTAAACAGATACAATACTTATTTCATTATAGTGACTGTCCAGCTTTACAGATAGAGGAAAATATGCCTTAATAGCATTGTTTTGGACAAAGACAGGCACCTATTAAGAGTAGAACCACCAACTTTCCATAAACTAGCTAGTTATACAACTATAAATGGAAATGCCTTTATTGAGACTTTACTTGTGACCTCAAAAACAAATTTTACCTGACCATACAAAATGTCTGTTCTCTCTCCACATTGAAACAACTTCCATTCTTACAAATCTGCCAGCACAGAGGTGTAGAAAGCTATTCCATACCATATATCCTTCTTGCGAGTGTATAGTCACTGGACCTCTCGAAGAATTGATAGTCTTGATCAACTTCCACCATGCATGTCAAGTTCTTCATTACCATGTCACAGGTGTGCTTTAACCATCCATTATCTGACATCGATCCATCATCACATTTTATGCCACTTAAGCCATTCAGCCTCCATGGTCTAAAGGTTTACTGAAAAGTCACTGGGTTAACAAAAACAACATTCCAATCTCAAAAAGTTAACATTGACCATATTTTAAACAAATTCTTAATTAAAATGATAACAATTGTTTTGTTGGTTCTCAAGTCATATGGCAACTGGGCACCTTTATTGGTAGAAAATATGTCCAAAACGTACATTGTTTCAGGCAAGGGCTGGTACCAGAGTAAAACAACGGACATTCCAGTCTACATGGTTATAGACTTTAAAGCTACAAAAGACAATTTTAATCAAACTAAGGAATGTGTAACTGATTTATCACTTAACTATTGAAAAATTGAACCTCGATACATGTTGCACTCAAGCTGTCTTGTGACTTACACAAATTCAAAATAGATAATTTACCAATGCTCCATCATTTCACTTTCCAGCACAATCACACTTCACCAATGTCACAACAATCATTTCACCAATGTCACACAACCATCCACATTCCAACATAAATCCTCCATCACAACTTCCGACATGAACCTAGCAATCCAGCCAACATGTTTTGGTTTTCTGAAATGTCACTGGTGTTAACAGAACAACATTGCAAAATTTAACACTTTAAGCTAAATTCTTTTGAAATTAAACAGATACAATACTTATTTCATTATAGTGACTGTCCAGCTTTACAGATAGAGGAAAATATGCCTTAATAGCATTGTTTTGGACAAAGACAGGCACCTATTAAGAGTAGAACCACCAACTTTCCATTAAACTAGCTAGTTATACAACTATAAATGGAAATGCCTTTATTGAGACTTTACTTGTGACCTCAAAAACAAATTTTACCTGACCATACAAAATGTCTGTTTCTCTCCACATTGAAACAACTTCCATTCTTACAAATCTGCCAGCCCAGAGGTGTAGAAAGCTATTCCATACCATATCCTTCTTGCGAGTATATAGTCGCTGGACCTCTCGAAGAATTGATAGTCTCGATCAACTTCCACCATGCATGTCAAGTTCTTCATTACTCTGTCACATGAGTGCTTTAACTATCCATTTTTTGTCATTTATCCATCATCACATTTGATGCCACTCAAGCCATTCAACTCCAGGGTTTCTATGGGTTTTTACTTCAGCCTCCATGGTCTAAAGGTTTACTGAAAAAGTCACTGGGTTAAACAAAACAAAACTTTCATTTAGAACCCCCAAAATTTTCCCAAATTTACATAGCTATTTTAAAAAACAAGAAATGAAATCCCTTTTATTAAAGATTTTACTTGTGACTTTTTAAAAAAACAAAAATTTTTCCTGACCCTACAAAAAGTTTGTCTCTTCCCCCAAATGAAAACAACTTCCAATCTTTCCCCAAAACTGCCCCGCCCAGAGGTGTAAAAAAGCTTTTTTCATTCCCCCTATTTCCCTTTTTGCCCAGTTTTAATTTGTCTGGGCCCCTCGAAGAAATATAGTCTCGATCAAAATTCCACCTTTTCATTTTCAAATTCCCTTTTATTTTGTTTTTGTTTACGTCCCCCTTTCTGTTATATATCTATCATCATATTTTATTTCAACTCCTCGATCTGAAAAAATTTAATTTCCCTCATCTAAATTTTTCAATTCCTCGGTTTTTGTAATATCAAAATTTGGTTGCAAACTCCTCGGTTTGAAAAGGGTCATATCCCCTCATCATAATTTTTTGCAATTTTCGGTCTTTAAAGATTTTTATACCATCAATAAAATTTTTTGAAAAACCCTCGGGCTGAAAGGGCCATATCCTTCATTTATTATTTTATGGGAAACTCCTCGGTTTTGGGAAAAACCCCTATCCCCCATCCCCTATTTTTTGCAAAATCCTCGGTTTTTGAAAGATCATTTTTTATCATTTATATTTTTTGCAAAATCCCCGGCTGAAAGACCAAAATCCCTCATCATAATTTTTTTGCAACTCCTCGGTTTTGAAAGTTTTTATCATCATATTATTTTAAAACAAAATCCTCGGGTTGAAAAAATCATAAACTATTTTATTTTATGCAACTCCTCGGGCCTTTAAAGGACCATATCCAAACCCTTATATTTTTTTTGGGAAATTTCCCCGGTCGGGAAAGGATCCCTATCTATCATCCAAAATTTTATTGCAACTCCTCGGTCTGAAAGAAAATTTCCCCTTAATTTATATTTTTTTGCAACTCCCTGGTCTGAAAGAAACAATTTTCTATCATCAAAAAATTTTATGCAAACCCCCTCGGGCTGAAAAGAAACCCTACCACCATTCAAAATTTTATGCAAACCTTTCCTTTGTCTTGAAAGATCATATCTATCATTTATATTTTATGCAACTCCTTTTCGAAAGACCATTAAACCAAACCAAAACATTTTTTTATGCAACTCCTCGGGCTGAAAGGGGTCATATCTTTTCATCATATTTTATGCAAAATCCTCGGTCTTTAAAGAACCCTATTTCCCTATTCATTTTTTTTATGCAATTTCCTTTGGGCTGAAAGATCATATCTATTATATTTTTTTTTATGCAAAATCCTCGTCTGGGAAAAAATCATAAAACCCTCATCTATTTTATTAATCCTCGATCTGGAAAAACCATTATTTTTTTATCATAAAATTTGATGCAAAATCCATGGACTGAAAATCATATCTAAACATATACTTGGGTTTCAAAAACCCCCGGGCTGGAAAAAGGGTTAAAACAAAAGGGGTAACAAAAAAAAAATCCCAATCTTTATAATAATTATTTTAAAAATCTACAAAAATTTTTTTCAAAAATTTCTTTCCAAAATAAACAGACTAGTTATGTAAGGTTTAAAGTTAAATTTTCAGATGAAAAATTTAAACCCTTAAAGGCAAGGGGTAGCAAAAAGGGGTTTATTATGAATAGAACCATGACCTTTTCCCGTTTTACTAGCTATATAGAAAAAATCAAAATAATTTCAACTGAACAAAATAAAAACTTTTTTTAAAATCAATTCTTTTCTTTCTTTTCTTAAAGAAAAATCCATTTAAAAAACAAGTAAAATATCGTTAAAATACTCAATAACGGGGGAAATTTTTTCACCAAAAAAACCCCAACACAAAATTATTTTAAAATTGTGTAAAAAAAAGTTCATAATTTTAAAATTTTTAAAAAAAAGTTAATGTTTAGTAAAAATACCCAAATCCGCTCCCCTCAACCTTTCTCCAACACATTAAAACAGCCAAACATCATAATTTTTGGGGGGCAAAAGCCAAAAGGGCTTAATGGAAACAAAACCAAACATCATTTTGGTTTCAAAATTTATGGACTGAAAAATTTTCCCCAAAACCAAAAATCAAAATTTGGTGCAAAAAACCATTTGGGCTAAAAGATCACACCAAAAAAATCAATTTTTTGGGGCCCAAATTTATGGACTGAAAATCAATCCAAAGATCAAATTTGGTGCAACTCCATGGGCCCGAATTTTCACACCAAAAATCAAAAATTTTTTGGGGCAACTTTCCCCGGGTCTGAAAGATTATAGGGGAAAAAAAATAACATTCTAATCTCATAACTAGAACTACGCAAGTCGGATGTGTCGTCTTGTGAACAATAAAGTTTAGGAGAAATGGCCAGGACAAAAATGAAATTTGAAAATCAACAAAGGGCAATAACTCAAAAAATAAGAAATACAGAGCAGCAGTTTCTATGCACTGCACTTCTTATCAATAAGATTTATCATCCTATTAAGTTTCAAGTTTTAAGCTTTTATAATTTATAAGAAAGGATTGTATGAAAATTAACAAAGGGCAATAACTCAAAAAATAAAAAATGCAGAGTACCAGTTCTTGTGCACTGCACTTCTTCTTAATGGGATCTATCATCCTATGAAGTTTCATGTCCATAGCTTTTATACTTTAGGAGAAATGGCCTGGACAAAAATAAAGTATGAAAATTAACAAAGGGCAATAACTCAAAAACTAAGAAATGTAGAGTACCAGTTCTTGTGCACTGCACTTCTTCTTAATGAGATCAACTTGAAACTTCATAGGATGATAGATTCTATCATCCTATGAAGTTTCAAGTCAATAGCTTTTATACTTTAGGAGAAATGGCCTGGACAAAAATAAAGTATGAAAATTAACAAAGGGCAATAACTTAAAAAATAAGAAATGCAGAGTACCAGTTCTTGTGCACTTCACTTCTTCTTAATGAGATTCTATCATCCTATGATAAGTTTCAAGTCAATAGCTTTTTATACTTTAGGAGAAATGGCCCGGACAAAAATAAAGTATGAAAATAAACAAAGGGCAATAACTCAAAAATAAGAAATGCAGAGTTCCAGTTCTTGTGCACTGCACTTCTTCTTAATGAGATCTATCATCCTATGAAGTTTCGAGCCCACAGATTTTATACTTTAGGAGAAATGGCCCGGACAAAAATAAAGTATGTAAATCAACAAAGGGCAATAACTCAATAAATAAGAGGTGCAGAGTACCGGTTCTTGTGCACTTCACTTCGGGTCATTATAAGAAGGATGCATACCAAGTTTGAAGTCAATCCAACTTATAATGACTGACTTATGCTCCGGACAAGCTTAAGGGGACGCCGACGCCGACAATGACGCCGACAGAAGTAATCCCTATATGTCGCCTTTTTCAAGGCGACACAATAATTATTTTAACATCTACATTACTTTCCAACTAAACAGACAACTATGGTTTTAATGGTTTAAAGTTATGTGGCAGATGAAAATATACCATTTAAGTGCAAGGAGTAGCAAATTGTCATTATGAATAGAACCACTGACCTTCCAGTCTAACTAGCTATAGACAATCAACTATATTTCAACTGAACAAAATAATCTTTTTAAACTCAATTCTTTTCTTACATTGTCTTAATGAAAAATGTACACAGCAGTCATCATATTTGGTGCAACTCCATGGTCTGAATGATCACACCAAACATCATATTTGGTGCAACTTCATGGACTGAAAGATCACATCCATCATCACATTTGGTGCAACTCCATGGTCTGAAAGATCACATCCATCATCACATTTGGTGCAACTCC